ATTATATAATATAGTAATCAAAAAGTTTACTTGAAGTCAAATTAAAGGATCAATGAGAATATCCATATCTTACCAATTTTTAAATGAATATTCTTTTTTTTTTTTAAATTAATTTTGCAAACTTTAAGACCAAAAAAAGTAATATAATGTGAAGCTTTAGGGGAGGGATCTTCTGCTTTACTTGTCAATCCAATTCTCACAACTTTTAATCATAATGTTCATTTAGGAATATGGGAAAGTTGAATAAATTAAAGTAGCTAGCTAGCATTACATTTTTTTTTATTTATTTATATTTTCTTTAGATAAAGAATGATGAGATATTTTCATGCAAGTTCAGTAGCAAATTAAAAGGGCAAAGGGTCATTGATTGATTCCCATGCAAACACACCACAATTTTTAGTTTTTATTTTCATAGTTTATACTTTATTCAAGTGTGCAATATAATATATTATATTATATTCCTGGTGTAGAAAAACAATGCATATATGCAGTGTGTCCCGGTTTGCCCTTTTTTACGCAATAATATCAAATTTATAAATATTATCAAATTCAGCACACACACTTGGCTAATTAATGGTACTTAAAAAATGCATGTGAATATTGTGTACATACAAGTACATATAATTTACATATCTGCCAAAAATAAAGGGGATCCCAATTATATTATTTAATTTGGGACTTCTTAATTGGTCAATTTTCTTTTTTTCTTTAAAAAAATAGATCATTTTTAATCTTTAATTATTTATTTGAGTACTGTTTCTCATAATTGATAACAGTACAATGATGTTGTTGGTTGAGGGTACGTACCCTACGATGGTAAATGAATCTCCAAATTGTAAGAAAATTCATGACAAATTATATATAACTCTTCAAATATAGTATAATTAGATAATTTCCCCAATATGTTAATTAATCACTTAAATTCAACTGCCCATTTTTATAACATACTCTAAAAAAAACAATGGATGGTGTAGATGAGTGTGATAAGGTAATAATTGAAATGAAAGTGGAGAGTGATGAGGCAATGAGTGTAAAAAGGTACAAATCCAAAATGGACGGCCCGTTTCAGGTAGGCCCGCCCGCCCGCCCACTGCATGTATCCAGATTTATAACCCGATTTGCGGATCCAGTACAAACATTTGTCCTTGTCTTCTTTATCATCTTAATTATATACAAACATTTACAATTTCGTCAATTTCTTTATTCATTAACCTATCATCATGCCTTCCATCACTTCAATTTCTTTGCACATGAATTTTCACCTCCGCCCGGCCTAGTTTCCATACAAATTTGATCAAATAAGTAAACACAACAATCAAATAATGTCATCAGAAATTTTTTTTTTTCCATTGTTTCGTTCATAATTTTGAATTAAATAATATTTTTTACAGTATTCAATAAAAATTATTTTCTGCTCAAAAAAATAAAAAAAAAACGGAAATCTCATTGAAACATTACCTTGGAATCATTCCAATAGATATTCTGAGATCCATACATGTTTATTAATAATTGTTAATTACCCTGCATTCCAGGCCACAATGCAAAATTGTACCAATTTGTTTGACACAAATTGCGCTCGAAATTTCCTCAGTTGCCAGATATTAGACAGAACAAAATCCTCATCTGGTAAAACATTTTATCATAGATTGAACATATTGGGTAAAAAAACAAAAAACAAAATCAAATCAAGGCCCGAACACCGAGTTGCTGCATTTCTCTAAGCTTCCATATAGAGTGAGTAGGCGCACCCTCTCCGAGTTCTTCTGGATCTAACTGTTGCATTGCCCATGCATAATACACTGTATGGATAGTATCCTGCTCACCCACAAGTTTTTAATTAGACCAACGTAACAGAAGATTGCAAACGTAATACGAGATGAACAATTCAGAATATGTCTTCTTTTTTTAAACATAAGTCTCAACAGTGTGGAAAAGCAGTGGTTGCTTACCTGGCCACCTTCTGTTATTGAGCCCAGTTTATCGCGTATGCAGTATATTTGCTGTGTCTGGAACTGTGATAAATTTCAAGGAAGATGGTGTCAATTAATGACATTGTTGTGTGAGAGCTTGTTTGTGCATGAGGTTTTGTTGTTTCTATAATTATTTATACAAACGTAGAATACTTGATAGGGAAGAGGCGCAAATTGATTTTTAGAAGGGTTTAAAGATATAAATACTAAAACAAATTCGAGGATTAAATAAAAAATATCCATGTTTTACTTTTTACTTTATTTGATAGGGGAAAGGGAATATAAAGATAGCAAAAAGGCGAGTCCTTACATTAACAATGATTATGGGAGTTTCTCCCATCATTTTGGTCTCTTTGACTTCGGCTTCTGATATATGTAAAATCTGCACCAAGGACAAAAAAAAATATTTCACTCCAGTCGAGTAAATTTAGTAGCGAGTATACACCAAACAAGCACTACCTCAAATGAAACAGACTGCTAGTTTAAAGAACAAACTTTGTGAAAGCCGCCACCGAAATAAATCAGTTACACAACTGAATAGAAACCTTATGGATCTTAAGTAATTCCAATCAATTCAAGCCATCTTAATGATTTTGTAGTAGGAAAAGCGCTTAGCTACTCACTAGGGGAGCGAACAAGTCATATACTGAATAAATTACATAAACCTTCCTCACAGTTACTTACAGAACAACTCACGTACAACCATTTGAAAATGTTATCTACTCTTTGTAACCCAAAATAATCTAAGAACTGAAAACACCAGCCCAGAAGGAGAGTGTGCGATACACAAAACAACCAAAAACATATAAATGTGGAAAAGCAAAAAGGACCGCACATAATAAAGGCTGTCTAAGCTTGTGAGCTAAATAGAATCCAAGCAGTCTAATCACTTACTTGAATTGAACGAATAAATGCATATTTTGAATTATGGTTTCCCTCGACCTTAAAACATTATGGCTTATATTTCTTCAAACAAGGACCGTGCAAGTAAAAAGTGATAAATGCACAGTTTTTGAGCTACCGGAAGTCAACAAAATGTGAAAGAAGATTACAGTGCCTGCACACATAAAGAAAGCAATATAATTATGAAAACTTACCTTGTTATCAAAGAAGATCCCTTGGGTTTCATAAGCTTTGCGCTCTGCTTTACATCGCTCAATTACATTAGGGCTACAGTACTTCTCTAGAACTGCAGTATCTCCCTGAAGACAGAAGACACATAAAATGCATCATGGTACAGAAGAAAAAATATCTGATGGCATGATACCCTCTAATAGCGGCAACAAAAAACTGTACTCAAGTAGACACTTTCTGGAAATAAAAAAAATCTAAGAATATAATTTTGTTTGTTAAAGACTCCAGGAGCCCAGAAAGAAGAATGACACAAGGACATCCACGGAATAACTACAAGTTTCACAACATCTGACCCATTGACCAGCTAATTATGCATCAAGTTATCCACCGTAGTACAATAAAGTTGAAGACTTACTTTGAAATAAGCATTGAGAACTGGTTTAACCACCTCTTGAACCTCAGATAGAAATTCTGGTAAAGAGAAGGTCCTACACAAGCCAAATTTTATATCAAATATGTAATACTTTGGAAGCATCGCTGTTTTACAAGGATGAAATTAGGACATGTAATTCTTACGGATCTCTGCGACGAATTTCTTTAAATGACATGGCAGCATCTGATTCTCCAAGGACAGTTTCACTGATACTGTAACATAGTAAATGAGGATTATTACTTTTGCATTCTCCATTTATTAGCATTGTAATATCGATTAGACAGAGAGAGGATACCAACATACTCTTGAATTTTGTGAACAACTGGATGATCACTGGTCTCCCATCTCTCCCGCATATCTTCTGCAATCTGCAGACCAGACAAAAAGATAAAACCCATGACAAAATTATCTTATCTTCACATGGACTAGACAATTCAAGCAATAATGTCTCTCTTCCAAAATAGTATAAATAATATATGAGAAAGGACATCAGGATCCTCCTAACCTAACTAGCCCGTGAGAGCTAACAGCAAGTACAGGTAGAAAAGGCTAATACACAGAAATGTCATGGAAGTACAATAACAAAAAGTATGACTAGGAAGATGGAGCTGACATCGTTTTATTGCAAGTATTAGCATTGTAGCATATTCATGTATCAGCAACCCAGAATTGATTTAAAAGAAAGATGAAATCACCCTGAGATGTGTGTAACCTAAATAAGTGGCTATTCAATATCAAGGAGAAGAATCACTGTTCATTCATAACATATTATACATGCAATAGGGGATGAATAACATAAAGTGCATGGAGCTGTTTAAGTTAGAACAAATGTGCACCAACATATATTATTCTTTTTGGTATGCGAGGAAATATAACCATAGGAAGAGAACAGGAGGGCTTCCACATTCATATTTTGATGCTTTGGCCACAGGAAAGTAGCTGCTCAAATTTCAATTTGACATTTAAAGCAGCCATACGTAAATTACGAGACAGAATTTAGATTCCAAATACCTCTTGGCTCTTCTCAATGACAGGCTCACTAAACCCACTAACACGTTTGAATATAGGATTTCCTTGCATCTGAGGCACAAGACAATAATATCAGGTACAAGGGTGGGAAGAAAAACTACAATTAGCTAAGAGAAGAAAGATTGGATGCAAAAAGCATATTACCTTACTCTTCAAAGCCTCCCATTTCTTACTCCATCGGGACTGCTTTGTAGGTAAAATAACGATATCAGTGCGCGTACTTCTTTCAATGTTTGGCGAGGGAGCAGCCGAAGAATTATCATACTCAAGGTGTTTTTTCCTGTTTGGATTACCTTTTAATTCATCTTTCACAATGTCATAGCCCTTCTTCACCAAGTCAATGGGTTTTGCTTCCTTCAATTTCTGGAATGCTAACGAGACCTTCGGAGAGATGTAAGAAACACCAAACTTGAGCTTGTCAAATGGTGTTTGGGCATGATCACTAGATTCAGATTGCTGTTTCCCATGCTTCTTTTCTTCATCAAATGCAGACTTGCTTTCATTTTTGTCATTTGTGCCATGACTATCTGATGTACCATTCCTTCCAGTAGACTCTTGATTAATACCAAAACTTTCTTTGACCTGAATCAAATTGACGAGTTCTTAACATTCATCGGTCAACAATGTTGCGATAGAAATAATAGAGCACATTACTTTTATCTCTTGGAAAAGAACTTTTACGAACCTCCTCTTTAGCAGCCGAAATTTTTTCTTCCACACCAGCATAAACCTTCAGGAAAGAAAATAAAACCCAAGAGTCACCTTCAGTAATAAAGAAAACCGAACCTACAACAGTTACTTTCTCATACTCTTAGTTTATTTGCATTGTACATTCAAATACCCAACTTTGCAGCCACCCTCTCATCACCAAGAAGAGTAACTAACTATCCAATTCCTCCATCTTCTTGAGCACAAGAACTCTACCAGTGTATATAGAAATATCTAGATTTCTCAAGTCCAAGCCCCAAGGAAATTGGGACAAACAATATTTGCCAGGAAATAGTTAACAGAAATTATTACATGTTTTTAAACCATCTATGCATTGCAGACCAATAGAGGATTTATACCTTCTTCGCCTGGGCCTCAGCCTCTGTCCACACACCATCTACATGCTTGTACAGCTTCTCAGTTGTCTGCTTCGTTCTGCATTTCGCGATTTCAGCATCTCAGAGTCCCCAATGGAAGTGTCTGCCAGCTTTGACATACAACAGTATGTCTCAGCCTCTCCATAATTAAGTAAGTGCTCTACAAATGAAATATTGAGAAAATAATACCTAATCTTAAGATCCTCTTTTACTCCTTTCAATTCCTCCGCTTTCTCCTTGATTTGCTTAATGGATTGTTTAAGTTCCTCGTTACTGCATACAAATTAGTCAGGATGTTGTCTTGAAAATACATTGAAAATAAATGTATTTGAAAGATTATCCACCAGAAAGAAGTTTTCATATAAGAATCAAGGATCGAAAAGAGATAACTTCAACATGAAGAATAACTTTCGATTTCTAGCTACTGTTCAGTACTTAAGCATTACCACAATTAACACCACTTTTCAGAACATTAAAATTTCTCAGCTCAAAGAAAGCTTTAAGGCGATCATACCAGAAAAAAATGTGCACTGCATTCAATTGAAAAGATCGACCACGATTCACTATGATAGAGCTAGTCATAAGTCCACAACGGTAACGGCATTTATAAACACACAGGGAAAAAAATATAACCACTTAACTATTGATAAATCAAACATAAGAAAGAAGAATGTCTTCATTATTTTTTTTTCTTATCCCTTTTTTGGGGAGTCAGGCTTCAAGTAACTGACCGCGAAGAATTATCTTCGCAAATCCATCATGGTGAATGAATGTAAGGAAAACCAACATAAAATCATAACATTCGCACAAGGAAATCACAAACTAATCCTAGTACCAACCGAAAGCAAACGGAACCAAAAAATCCCGAGTTGAACATACAAAAGAATACCTGTCGACTTCACCTTTCATCTTCTTGGAGAACTCATTGAACACACTGAATTCACGTCTAAACAATTGACTGTTGGGCGAAACTAATTGCGGCATCGGCCATCTACCCGTGACCTACACAGAAACAATCAACACATGAAAGAATATTCAAAAACACAAAAAAAGTAACACGAAAAAAATTGAGGAAACACAGACCTGTTGAGATGCTAACAATTGCTGATGGCGAAGAAAGAGGTGTTTAGATTGATATAAATTTCTGGCGAGCATTCTGCTGGCCATGACAAATTACAGAAATTGTAGTTTTAAATAAATTTTAAGAAAATGATTGAAGAATTTAGGGTTTAGGGTTTTATAACGCTCGATAGTGTGATAACTTTCTGGTGGAGCAGAAGGAAAAACAGAGTGTGGGGAAACTTGGGAAAAGGGACTCGCTTTTTTTGCCCTAGTGCAAATTATCAGATTTGTTAAGGTCTGTTTGGGTCGCACGTCGCAGGCCCTCATTTTTTCACAAAATTATATAAAATATTTAAATGAAAATTCTTGTAAATATAAATTGAATAAACAATCATACAAATAACAAAATAGATTTGCATGGTTTTACTTTATCATATTGTGTCATGAATTAGATCACATTTGTTTCAAATAGTTTCTCATTAAATTCTCAATAACATAAATATACAAAATGGTGAATATTTTTTGGTTTCAAACGAACAAATGGAATCGAGTCAACGATTTTTTTTCAAACTTATTTGATTTGTTATTGATCTTTCCCAGTTGTATTTAACTTAGATTTGATAATCAATCAAGCCGAACATGAATCAAGCTCGACTAACTTGATTTAAGTACATAGTTTATCGGATGACAATATATGTCCAAATTTGGTTTATTAACGATCGCACAATATTCTCCGAGGTCAAGTTCTTCTCGACAGACCGTCTTTTTTTTCACCGAAGATAAATCTTGGAAGAAAAGATGATCGACTATTCGCATGGGCTTTAGACTGGGCCTTGATCCCTCAAGGATCCAGTCCAACTCATTGGATTTGGCCCATTATGCCAAATTCACCCCATTAATTATGTTACATACAACCTCTTAACGAACAATCCCAAAATGAATATCCAATAGTTAAATTTGATTTTCAGTCCAGTAAATCTACCAATAAATAATTTCCTAATAACGCATTTAAATACGAAAAAACCTTTTATTCAATTGTCAATAGTCTGTAATCTAACAAGAAACAAATTTCGGACTACATTTTTTCTCATATGTATGTATGTTATGTTATCATCAATAGGCATTTCAATAACAAAATGAAAATAGCAATTGAGAAACATTCAAACAATTCAAGAATAATAGTGGCACTTACAAACTCTTTGACAAGTTGAATAATTACACAGAAGCAAACAAAAATCTTAGGGGTATATTGAAGCCCTTAAAGAATCAACTCTCATTTGGCAACAACCATTGAGGGCGTATTCGGGAAGAAAAAACAAAGAACAATCATACAAAAAACCGACAAAATTGTTAAGCAGATCGATGATGAAGAATGTGTTAGTTTGAGCAGATTGTAAACCAATCATGTATATGTATATGTATGTGTGTATATATATATACACTAGAATCTCCCCTGCAGAATTCCATTTTCATCATCTGGATATTCTGTTTCTGATAAATCTGTCTCGTATTCAGACAACACCTCATCATTACTTATATCTACATCTTCTTTACTACTACGACTACTACTTCTACTTGTTCTTCTTTCTGAATTTTCACATATGCAAGACCAAGGATTTTCGTGAAACTCGCCCTTCTTAGTATTATTTACCTCGTTTGTTAATGGTTCACCCATGAACCCCGTTTGGAATTCCCTCACATGTGATGAAAATTCTTCCCATGTTGTATTGTCTCGGTTAAGGAACAACTTTTGTAGTTTCTTTGTGTTCGGTCGGATTGTTGGTTTGTGACCAAAGTATCTCCTGTAATATATTAATAACAACAAGCACAACTAGTACTCAATATCAACATTTTAAATCTTCCCAATTTAGTACTTAAACATGCATGTATTAATACATACATACCTTCTTCCAGAGAGTATCTTGGCCATATTCCCGTTGTTATTGGTGACAAAAACGTCACTTTCATCGCAAACGATGAAGTCCAATGCAGCCATACGAGATGAATATGGCGAAAATTGTGCTAGCTCTTCTTTAATGGCAATACTCTCTTTAGTATGGATATTTGGGAAAAGGGATTTAAGTGGTGCAAGTGCTTCTTCACCTCCATATATTTCACCCGATGCTACATATATATGAATTTCTTCCCCAAATCCCAATGCTCTCAGCATTACCCCAACTTCTTCGGGGCTCAACGGGCATTTCCCGTGCCTTCTTTCCCTCTCTGGATCCTTTGTCTGAAAAACAAAAAAAAAACCCAATTCAGACAAGTAGAAATATGTTAATCAAGAAATTGGGATTTCATGTTACTTTTTTGTATGTAACTATGTGCGACTCACGTGTAAAGTTTTCCACCTCTTACGTATTGCACTTAGTTCTTTCGTTTCTTTCTCTCCTCCACCATAGTAGCATCCAGAAAAGGCCAGCATATCCGGTTCGTATCTGTTTTTTTTTTTTTTTTTTCAATAAAACTATTCTTTCTCAGAAACAAGAATCAACTTTTACGCATGAATCGATTGTCAAATTTTGAGCAAAATAAAAAGTTGAAACCTTAAATGAAGTGCAATAAAATGCTTGCTTTTGATTCTCATTCTCTCGACTAATTTACGACCCATATCACGAATCGGATCATTAAACCTCAAACCATGGTAGTTAACTCTGCATCGCAGTTTCTGCAAATCGTCTTCGAGCAAATTAGACAGCCTGTAATCGAACTTTGTAAGCTCAACAGCCTGCGCATCACGAAAAACGTGCAGTTCATTTAATTTCTTTCAAATTATCCTATAACATGATATTTGTACAGATTAATTCTCCGTTAGAAATAATATAATCAGAAACATAACACATACATGTTTCTTATTAAAGATGGGAAGAACACGAGTCTCGTAGCATTTCGGATTGCATTTCCTTGGTACACGAGTGCTTAATACTTTCGTTGCGTTTTGAGGGAGCTCTTTTATAATCTTCACATCTTTCGACATGAACGTCATAAACCAGTCCACATCAAATATCTCTGAGAAATTACTGCAAATTAATTCAAATGAGTTGAATGAAATTTAGGAATTTTAATAACATGATATGATCTTGATCTTGATTACGGTTTATATACTTATACACTAATGATGATTAGCAAATAAACCTGGGATCCTTCCAGAAAGATTCTTGGTCAAGCTTAGGCACGACTAACGTAGCTTTCAAGATATAGGCAGCAACAACGGCATCTACTATCTGTTTTATCGAACAATTACTCTTAAGAAGATGATCGGCAAATTTAATTTAATTTAATTTAATTACGGTGGGTTAATTAGTAATTACCCCTGTTCTTTGTTGATTTAAGCCTCCACTAGCTGCTATCAACAAGTATCTATTTGGTTCTGTATTTATTTCTGCAGCTGCAATATGTGATTCATAACATCGTGTCAGAACAATCATGACCTGATCAATACATATCCAATAA